TGGACAATATAAGACAGCAGCATGCAGCTGTGAAATTTTGTTTCCTGTTTGGGAAAAATGCCACAGAAACTGTTGTGATTTTTTTAAATACAATTTACAAGGACAACACTATGGGGAAAACTCAAGTGTACGAGATGTTTTCTCATTTAAAAATAGGTGAAATGTAGATTGATGACAAACCTCATTCTGGACATCTGTCAACTTCCCAAACGTACAAAAATGTAGATTCATAGTGCATTTGGAGTTTGTTCCACCTGGTCAGAAAGTTAATCAAGCTTTCTATTTAGAGGTTCTGAAAAGATAGTATAACAGTGTTCGACAAGAAAGTCCCGATTTGTGGCAGATGGCGGACTAGTTTTGCCACGATGACAATGTACCTGCTGACACAGTTATATCACATGCCAGTTTTTGACAAAACCTAGCATACCTGTCTTGGCCTATGTACCTTACTCACCTGATGTTGCTCCATGCTACTACTTTTTGTTTCCGCAAATGAAGAGGGACATGAAAAGACAGTGATTTGACCACATAGACGAGGTGGAGGAAAAAAGAGGGAGGTGCTGTCAGCCATCCAAACAGATGAGTTTGAAAAACGTTTCCAAGAATGAAAGCACAGATTTGGCAAATGTATTAAGTGTAATGGAAAGGACTTTGAAGGTGATAAGGTTGTTTTGTAAAAAATAAAAAAAAATAAATACATAGCTTTGAAAAAATAAATTCTGATTTTCTTGGGGGCTACCCCCTTGTGTCTAGGAAAAAGAACAACAGACACAATAATTGAGGTAAGGTAAACACAGATTCTAGTTTTGTGATAATTAGTTGTGAGTTGTAGTGACCTGCTTGGGTCTCCGTTTTAGTTTTATGCTCTGTTGGTTGAAGGGGAGGAGCAAGGGTGTGTATAGTATTGGTTGTTGTAGCAAGCTTATTTGTCCTTTCAGTTCTGGTTTATTTACTCTAGTAACGTCTTTTTACTGTGTTTATTTGCTACAACCAATAAGAATAATGTTTACTTCTTGTTCTTAAATTTCTTATCCAAACTAGAAACATTTCCTTGACAAAGATTTTCTGTTTGTCCTTTAAAAACATCACATTACATCTTCAACGAACAATGATTTGAATGTATTGCTGTCTTATGCTGAAAGCAAATTCATTCACCATGAACACCCATGCTCATCGAAAAATGATTTTCTGTTGAAAAAAATACGGAAGAAGAAAAGAAATAACCTAGGATGGGTTTCGACAGAGGAACTATCCCCAAGTGGCAGGAACTGGTGACGGGGCCCAAGAAGGCTGAGAGGGCTGACAAAGATGCAGAATTGGTGTCCCAGTGGAACTACTGCGCTCTCAGTCAAGAAATCTTGAGGCAACCCATAGTTGCCTGTGAACTTGGCAGACTGTACAATAAAGATGCTGTCATTGAATTTCTACTGGAAGTCTTCTGAGAAGCCCCTGAAGGCAGCCTCTCACATCAAGAGCATTAAGAATGTGACAGAACTGAAGCTTTCTGATAACCCTGCCTGGGAAGGGGACAAGGGCAACGCCAAAGGGACAAGCACGATGACCTCCAGCGGGCATGCGTCATCTGCCCTGGGGTGGGCTTGGAGATGCACGGCCCGCACAGCTTTGGCTTCTTGCGCTGCTGCGCATGTGTCTTCTCAGAGCTAGCCCTGAAGGAGATCAAGGCCGAAGTCTGCCACACTTGTGGGACCGCCTTCCAGGAGGACGACATCTTTGTGCTCAATGGCACCAAGGGGGACCTGGAGCTGCTGAAGACCCCTATGGAGGAGAGGCAGCTGCGTGCCAAGCTGGGAAAGAAAACAAAGAAACCCAAGGCAGCAGGGACTGTGTCAAAGCCAGGTGTCCCTGAAGAAGGTGCGGGGCCATCTGCTGTCAGGAGCAGGAAGCCCGAGGAAATGAACCTTGACTCCAAGGAGAAAAAGGCTGGCCTGGCTCCCAAAGGCACAGCACCGGGTGGGAGTGCATCTGGGAAAGCCGGGAAGGCTCCATGTGCAGACACGAAGCCGACCATCGCCTACAGTCACCAGCCTGAGACCCACAAGTCCCTCTTCACGTCTCACAGCTCCGCCACGCGCTCGAAGGAGGAGTCAGCCCACTGTGGGTCACCCACACCTTCTGAAGCCATGCCCAGCCCCTCCCGCCTGAGACCATTAAACACGCAGCTGCTGTGCTCAAAAAAAAGAAAAAGAAATAACCTAAATGCTCATCAAGGGAAGAATGAATAATCAGTGGTACTTACACACAGTGGACTACTATGAAATGTTAGAGTAACGTGGTATATTTGAAATGCTTCATCACATGGCTGAACCTGGAGGGCAGTATGTTGAGTGAAGTAGGTCAATCATAAAAGAAAAAATATTGTATGAGCCCACTCTTATAAAAAGTCAGAACAGATTTTCATACTAAAAGAAACATATTTTGATGGTCACCAGTATTAAGAGGGGAAGGAAAGGTAAATTACTGGATAGAGGGTATTAGAAAATATTTAAAGGCAACAAATACATACAAGATGGTACAATTATGACCATCGATATTAAAATTAATGTAGGTGTCAAAATTACTCAGTAAAATTCAGAGAGGATGGCTGTCCTTGTGACTCAAGTCAACCCTGGAAGACCAAGTAGAACTGTTCCGTGGGTTTCTGAGACTGTAGCTCTTTCTGGAAGTAGAACACTTCATCTTTCTTTTGCAGAGTCGGTGGTGGTTTTGAACTTCTGTTCTTACAGTCAGCAGCACAATGAGTAAGCAATCTGCCACCTGGGCTCTTTTAACTTTGTCAGTTTATCTGTTGTGTCAAAATTGGAGTCAACGCTGCATTGGACAGACGGTGCTCATGTAGGCAGGATGAAAGGGAGGGAGGAGAAATAACTCAGCACGGGTTCTTCTGATTCAATTGTGAATTTGTTCTTTCTCTCTTTCCCCAGGGAATTGCTCATCATTCTCCTAGTAGATACATTATTTCACTTAAGCTCTTGAATTCACATTTTCTTCCACACAATCCATTCACTTTTCTTGTGGCGACGGGGCTTCATACCATTATAGAAACACATGCTACACATAATTCAATCAGGCCGTATGTTCCAAATAGCAGTTCCCAAACCAAAAGCAAACTCATTCCCATTGAGTTGACACTGATTCATAATCACCTTGTAGTACAGAGTAGAACTTTCAGGGTAGGTTTCAGAGACTGTCACTGTTACAGGAATTGCTAACTTTGAGGCTAGCAACATAATGTGTAACCACTATGCCACCAGCCAGGGCCAGTTGTTCAAAGGCAAGTGGGATACTTTGCACATCCAATCAGGTCAAATCACAATCTCTGTTTCCATCACTAACATAATCCCTGTTTGTACCCAGACTCGCACGATTAACTAAATATAAAGTGTAAATTCTAAAGATGAATTTCTTTCTTTATTTTGAAACATTAAGAACCTTTTGCATGTTGATTGGATTTACTTCCTCAAATATCAGATTCATCAGGTGGATTTCCTTTTGATCAAAATTACGGAACCCATTGCACAACTGGAAAGAAATGGCTTATAATGGCTATGTGAGGTAGAATTGACTCAGCTGCCTGTGATTCAGCAGCCTTAGTCATTAGACATTCCCCTGGGCCACATGCCTTGTGTTGTATGTAAAGAGTTGTGATGTAAACAAATTTGATGGACCTTTGCTCTGAGGGCCTTTTTATTTCCATACTTTCAATAAAATGAAGGTATCAATATTGCAAAACTATGTTCTTGCATTTTCTCCTGATTCTCTTGAGGGATTGTTCTTCGCACACAGAAATCTACTTCAAACACAATTGACAACAGATGTTTTATGCAGGTGCCACTTGCAATGTCGTTCTGTTTATTTTCTTTCATACTAAAAGGAAGCATTTTTGCCCAAAAAGAATTATGCTAAAACACAATTATTTCCCCCTACTCCCGGGCTCTATTCCCTGCCCACAGGAGGATTATTGTATTTATACCTCCCCCATTCATGTCAGGATAAGTTAATGTGTGTGCTTTATTGTTTAATTTCCCCCAAAATCAGATGTAGCCATTCAAAGATGATCATTTATTATATTGGACAGGGATGAAATCTACTAATTTTCTCATCATTCTATTATCTGAATGCATGTGATATAATAAACACTATAAGTAAATGTTAAAAATCACTGTGGTTGTCATTGTTAGGGGCCGACCCTATGCACAACAGAATGACCCTATGCACAACAGAATGGAACATGACACTCCTGAGCAGTCCTCACAGACCTTGCTATGGTTAAACTCAGCATCGCAGCCGCTGTATCAGTTCCTCTTCTTGAGTCTTTTCCTCATTATTGCCGATCTTCTGCACACTGTTACTAGGCCATTAAAAGTTCTACTCCTGCTTATAATACTTCAAGGAGTTAACCGGAGAATGGGGCTAATGAAGAAGCGTCCACAGGTCTACAAGCATAGATATTTACTGCCCCCCTTTCCTCTGCACTTTAAAAGGAACCAAACATTGTAGACAACTTTACATAATTTATTTTAGTGTTATCATACAATTTATTTGGATATTCTACCAGGAAAACCAAAAATAACGTTTGCTTTTTGTTTTATATTTTGTCCCCTCTGTTTCTACACAATGTCAAAAAGGTGGCTGGCTTCCACATAAAATGTTCACAAATAAAGGATTGTTAAAACTCAAGTTCAGCTACAGGACTATCAACCATCTATGGCACACCATTCTTATTTTACTCAAGGTCTTCTCACACAGGTGTGCTCCTCCCTTATCTCAGTCCCAGGGGCAAAACTTTCACTTGATTCATTGCTCTTTAGCTCTCCATTCCTAAGTGCTATAAAAAGATAAAGTTGATTTTATTTATTTTAAAGCCGCCTGAGCTCCTTGATTTCACTCCCAATGCATAAAGCTTTTATTTTTATTTTTTTTGTTTTATAGTGTCCACTGCATAAAGCTTTCAGTACTTTATATTTTGTATGACATATCAATTATGTTTTTCTCCTGAAAAATACCTTTTGACACCAAACTATTTTCATGGCCTTTTTCATTTCATTATTTCTCAGAGTATAAATTAAGGGATTGAGCATGGGAACAAAAACAGTATAAAACAGAGAAAATATTTTATCCTCAGGGTAAGTAGTAGGAGGTCTAAGGTAGGCAAAGATTGAAGGCCCAAAAAATAAGACCACCACAGTGATGTGAGAGCCACACGTAGACAGGGCTTTGCGTCTTCCTTCAGCTGAGTGATTTCTTAAGGTGAATAATATAATGACATAAGACCCAAATAAGAGAACAAAGGTTACTAAGGCAACCATCCCTGAATTAGCAACTATAAGGAAACCAATGATATAGGTATTAGTACAGGCAACTTTCAGCAAAGGGAAAATAGCACAATAGTAGTGGTCAATTTCATTGGGGCCACAGAAAGGTAACCAGATTATCATAGAGAATTGGGAAAATGAATGGACAGCCCCACCAGTCCAAGCAGCCAAGACTAAAAGATTGCATCTTGTCCTGTTCATGATTACCATGTAGTGGAGCGGTTTGCAGATAGCAACACACCGGTCAAATGCCATCACTGTAAGGATGAAGACTTCAATCATTCCAAAGAAATGCATGGAAAAAACTTGCAACATGCAGCTATCATAGGAGATGGTTTTCGTGGTTACTAACAGGTCACCAATGAGTTTGGGAGTCACACAGGAGGTATAGCAGATGTCCATGGTTGATAAGTGGCTGAGAAAATAGTACATTGGTTGGTGAATAAGGAAGCTGCATCGAATGGAGACAAGGACCAGAAGGTTTCCCAACAAGAGGACAGCATAACAGAGTAAGAAGAGCCCAAAGCAGAAGATCTGTACGTTGTGGTCATAAGAAAGTCCCGTGAGAATGAATTCTGAGATATTTCTCTGACTCTCCATGTACAAGCAGTCCCTAGGAAAGAGGTGCCTGACTTACAGACAAGTCCTTATTTGCCTTTTAATGGTCTATAAAGTTTCCCCTCTTTTGAAGTCATTGAAACGGACCAACCCCTCACTCAGAATAAATTCTTTATCACAGTAATGTTCAATGGCTGACTGTGAAGCTTTTTAAATCATGGTAAAAGCACTTGGTGTTTTCTTGTATGAGAGGAACGTTGAATAAGAACTGTATGCAGCTGTTGGCACACACCTAAAAACTCCACTTAAAGATGTAAAGACAGTTAAGGATGGAACTTGTAAGCAACCTGGGAAGGCCTGTATGCAATGTATTATATGCAATGCATGAATAATGAGGCATCTGAAAGACAAGAGGACAAACATGTGGAGGTAATCATTAACAGTAGGGTCACAATCACATAAAAACCATCACCAAATCATGTAAGCTAATTCACAAATTATGTTCATTCTTGGAAATCATACTTGTGCTCGCTAAGATTTTCCCTAGTATACTACTACATTTTATGTGCTAACAATACATTTTCTACAGACTAAGCAATTTTTAAATATAAATATTTCTAACATGGACTATGTTCTATATTGTTACTTATAATATTTACATAACAAAAATAACAATGCAGGAAATTATGTCTATGGTAAGTTTTGATTGTGTGTGTTTTCACACACATTGTTTGTCTACCATAAGTTTTGACTTTAAGTATCATTCACAGACACAGAAATTCTTTGTGTGCTTTCCCTTTTATCAGGTTTCCATCCCCTAGTATGATAGGGCCACCTCCAGGAATTGTTTGTTGCATTTAATTTTTAAAAATTCAACTTCTATTAAAAAGCATTTACTAACATACAAGCTACTTGATTTGTCGTATGGATAATGTTAAAAATTAGTGGGGATTCCAGTCGAGTAAAAATATTGTAGTTGGGAAAACAATTTTACTGGGTATGTTACAGAATAAAAAATATTTGGAATAGCTGCAGCAAAATGTCGTTTTTGTCAATCCTTGACTCTGAAAAATAAATGGAACTAATTAAATCAAACAGTTCTCAAAATACATATCTACATCCCCAATCAGATCTCCTAATGAAATGCACAAAAATAAAACTGCAGCATAGATTTTAGGGGGGGCATCAGGACATATTTTAATGTGGAAAATATGTTGGTGACAAAATTGAATTCAGCTAAATTGACCTGATGATACTATTGATTATGTTGACACTTTGAAATCAGTAATATATATGTTTCATGGTACTGTAAGTCTGTTAAAAAGTCAGTTGTTATCTTTTGTAGTATTGTTAAGTAATCCTGTTGGACTCTTAGGATGCAAATTGAGCATGTAAAAATGGATTCTATTATTGAGGGGGATTACAAAGTGTGTGGGAAAAGAGCTATTATAATTCAATTCCATTTTTTCCACAGACTTTTTGAAACCCTCTTATAGAAGTCAGCTCATGCTGTTGCTAAATACTCATCCACATGGTTTCTATTTGTGGTATTAGCACATGACTTTCTATCAATTTACCGGATTCTGATGAACCCAGATGATTTTAAGAGAAGGGCCTTTTGAAAGGTGGATTTTTCTTCAAAGATTGAAGGCTGGCAGGCCACCAACAATCTGAAAATTTCATTCATTTAAAAATATTTCCCGATAGTGAAGGCCTATTTATAACATAAAATCAAATAAAGATTATACAAAAATGTTTTTATTATTGTCAGATTATCATATGGACATCTCAATTTATAGCCTCAAAAATAACTGAGTACCTTAAAAAAAACATGGATAATAAAGGTGACTACCTGCACATCTCTTCTAAATGATCTTCGTTAGCTTTAAATTACTCAGGCAAATGACTGACCTTCACCGACCCCACAATTACTGACCTTATTAACTTGAAAATCTGAAAAAAGTGATCAAATCCTAAACAAATGAGTTAGGCAAATCTAAATCAATTATTTGAAAATGTTTTCTGCATTGCTTACCTTTCATTCATTGGAGCAAAACACTTCTGTCTTGCAAGGCGATTGATGATATAGTTACCCTAGTAACTACCCTGGATTCATAGAGAAGTGTATTGTAGTCATCCCAAAAGAAAGTGGGTTTTAAAATGCTGAATCCACTCCCTGACCCTAGCTGGAACTCAAAAGAAAACTAGAGCATTTTGAAATATCTGCTGAAGCACTGCCATGTATATTTATCTAAGATACATCTCTTTGATGCCTATACCTTAAGGGGATTTTATTTGGAAGGGCCAAACACAAACTGAGGAAGGAACATAAGATCTTATTGGATTTTCACTAAAATATATAAAAATCTGTTTGCTCAAATGCATTGCTTAAATCATCTGCACCAGACAACAATAACCAATGTTATGTACTTCAGCCTCCTGGGAACTTTCCTTTTTTACGATGTTTATTTCAGGCTGCAAATTAGCTTCCCACTTCTGCATGTACCAGACCCTGGACACTGTCTCTAGAGGTGAGGGTTTTTATTCAGACACAAAGAAACTCAGGAAATGCTGGCAGCTCTGGCTCATCTTCCCTCTGAAGGGCAGGAGAGAAACTTGTGCAGCCCTAAGGGAACAATGAGGTTTGCACGGGGGCAGTCTCTCTTTCAGGGGAGGAGGCGCACAAAAACATTAAAGAGAAAGATAGGGAATCCTAATGCACGTAAGGCTGTGCCGTCTGCATATCACATATTGTTAATGAGCCTCCCTTCCATCATGATGCTGTGTTCAGCTTCATGTACTCCAGTTTTTCATGATTTCCCCAGCACACACAGTGAATAAGGGTGAGAACACGGTACAATGCTGACACAGGCCTTTCCAGGGTTCAACGCATGTAGCATCTTCCTGTTCTGTTCGAACGGTCTATGTACACATTCAGCAGGAACAGAATTTAGGGTTCCAGATTTCCATTTTCAATGTTATCTATAATTTCTTAAAATCCATACCTCTGAATATCTTGATACTGTCAAAGAAATACAAGTAACTATTTTTATAATTCTCAGCCATATCTTCTCTCACATCAGCAATGAATCTTTCATTTTACAACCTTTTCTGAAACTGGTTTGGATTTCTGGTAGTTCTATAAGCATAAATTACAAAACTTAAAAATATGTATATATTCAGTAAAATTATTCCGTCATGTGCTATGTTGATTTACTCTAATGTGTTCTACACTCTGTTCGGTCACCTTTCTCCATGCCCCGCTTAAATAAAAATGTTATTTATTTAATATATTCATCACAAGGGTGCAAATGGAAATAATTTTGAAAAGAAGCAAAACAAAAAT